TTTTTTTTTTTGAGCATTTTATACTTTTTTTTAATTTTGAAAGAATAAGTACTAGACAAATTCTATAAATAGACTCTCAATTAATTCTAATTTTGAAAATTTAAAAATCAAAATAGGAAAAGAAAAAAAATAGACTTGATGTTGCAACATTACTAATTAGAAAAAATAAGTATTGGTAATTGGTAAGTGATGTGGTTAGTTGTGTGGTTGCATAGAGAAACAAAGATTAAAGTATGATATTTTGAGGGGGGCAAATTAACAATTTAGAGTAGAGATTGTTTTAAATTATTTTATTATGCTAATAAAATAAAATAATTTATTAGCAAAAATAAATAAATGGGTTATATAGGCCAATCTATTGATATCTCTTGCCAATCTGTTATTGACCCATGACTTGACGAGTTCACTTAATAGTTTATTAATTGGTTATGGGTCAGGAGTGTCTAATCCTAACCCATTTCAAATGGGCGGGTCACGGGCGGGCTAACAAGTTAGGCCAAAAATTGTTGGGTCAAATCGTGTTGGATATCCCTAATCAAGGATCAAGGACAATAGTAATGCACAAAAATAAATAGAGACAAATATAAATAAAACTAGTGGTACCTGCCCCATTATGTGGTGGATTTTACTCTAAATTTATATTCACTGATTTGTTTATCTTTGGTTTTGTGGAAGATTGAGCAAATTTTAATAGATTTTGCCCTAGTTATTGAATAAAAGAAGGGTTCCACTTTTCGTTTTCTAAAAATGGTAGGTTCCATTATTCATCATAAGTTCTATTAATCTATTAATTTGAAATTTAGAAGAATAATATAATAAGATTAACTATGAATTTAAATAAAATTTAATAAGTTGAAGTTTGAATTTTAAATAAATGACTTAATCTAAATGATTTTTGTTATATAAAATTTAAATTAAATTTCAGTAGGATTTTTCAATTTTGTTTTTCTTATGGACAAAGCAATAATTTTTAATTTGAATCCATTTAATTCAATTTTTTTTACTAATAATGAAAAGTAATTGAATTAAAATCACAATTTGAAATTAAATTTAAAAAAAATATCAAAATCAATTGATAAATAAAATAATTATTTAGATATTAACAAAATTTTAATCCTTTTTAAAAAAAGTTTTTGAGCCTCAATATAATTTGAACCTTAATAACAATAAAATTTAATAAATAATATCGATTGA